TCCTGCCTGTTGCCCCAGCTCTTTTTGCAACAGCTCTCATGCCATGCAGGCACCCAAGCTTCATGAGCGTATCAGCTTGTACGTCTTCTCTATGCCATCATGTACCCTCAGTAAGAGGATGAGATCTGCATGACTCTGTTGCCTATCTTTAAAGGTTTCTTAAAGATATTAAGTGCAGTTTTTCTTGTTTTAGTTCCCAACCCCCTGCCCCCCAAAAATACTACAGTTAGAAACATCTTTGGCATTGGTTTTAACCCTTGTACGATTAGTTCTTGCTGCACTTCTAATGATAGATAAATGTATTAGAATTTCCAATCTAAATAATGTTTTTCATTTTGGCAGCAACTTCTCTCCAGGCTATTAGTTAGAGAAGGATAATTTTGTAAATGAAAAGGAAAGTTTATGTTTGGTCTTTTAGACAGGCTTCATTTAGAAACCAAACCAATTGCATTAAACAAAACAACATATTTAATTACTGATTTCTGTTCTTAATCCATTTATTTTAATCTAAATAGCAAATGTTTAATTTGTATCCATTATTTAGTGCCAGAAATATAAATCTTTCTAAATTAAATCTGTTAATGAAGTAAACCAGAAAGTCTGCCAGAAGTATACAAAACTGTATAAATGCAAGATTCACAAAATAGCAAACAAAGCGTATAAACACTCTGTATCTAATCCATTTTATTGCCTGCTTATGTTAGTGATGATGTGAAGCCTTTCAGCCAAAGTTTCAAACATCCGTTTTTCTCTTGTGCCATTCATTTCTTAAAGCAACTTCTTAAGTATTAACCAGTCGTTTGTGAAATTACTTATTGCAATCTAATTTGCCTATTCTGGCTTTTTCAACTGAGGAAGCTTTCAGGCAGAGGGGAAAAGATAATACTAACTTGTGGCAGAAGAATCTAGCATTCTAGACTATCCATGAAAGGAAGCTGTCTGGCATCCCACCTACCGAAATACACTGTGCTGAGAGAAATGAAATGATGATGAACACATTAAAAAGAAGAATTAGACAGATTCAACCTTTATCATTTTACATCCTTCTAATATTAGCTCTTTTATTTGCTTTATTAGGTAGAAGGTGAGCTAAGTTGGATTGTCTTGTATTCCTTTGAGTTTTTTTTTTGTCCCAGGTAGCATGCCCAAAAGAAGTTATGGCATAGCATATGATGTGCCATGGGAAAGCACAAATGAAATCAAGTTATACTTCTTTTAGGGATCTTGCTTTTCTTGTATTGAGAGGACATGGGAGGCTGACCATTTGTCTTTGCTGTTAACTTCAGGTCTAAAAAGAACTATTCAACCATTTACTGATTTATGGCTTCCTCCCCGCAGGAAAAAAAAAAAAAAAAAAGTTTACCTTGGGATGATAAGTTTGTTTCCTATATTCTTCTGAGATACCAAAGTTGTTTATCAGGGTATACTTCTTGTATAAATAGGTATCACGTCTGATATATTGAGGTGATTGCCTACATCTTGCTGAGAAAACAAGATGGTTCCCACATGTATTCTTAAAGCAGAACAGGACAAATCATAATAATCGGTCAAGATACCTGATGATCCAAACAGTTTTATTTCTGTTTACCCCTTTAGATTGAAAAAAAAGAAGATGCAAACAAAAACAAACCCTCCCTTAATAAGAATTGAGGCAGAAATGCTCTGCTTATATTTTCAACTCTTGGAATTTAGCACTGAAACAATTGCTTTGGAAAAGCTGTATAAAAATCTTAGTCTTCACATGTAAGCCTCTTCTAGCAGGTGAAAATAAATGAAGAATACCTAGATGTAATTTTCATTATGTATTTCACTTGCTTACTCGATTGCTGTAATCAATCTCCAATGCCTGATATCAGTCCTCTTTTACTGGATGAGTTTCTTCAGAAAGAATAAGCAGGCCTTTTGCAGCAGTAGATACTGTATATGAGTACTCTGGAGCTTGCCCTTTCCAGATCCTGAGGATAACGGTAGAAGAACAGAGCTGAATATATTGAGCTGGCATTTATGGCCAGTGCTAATTTTAGCAGAACCATCTGTGTTTTTAACTGACATTTTTCTACACTGATAACTTTAATGGGGAAATAACAAAAAAATCACTCCAAATGGTTCCCTGTCAGGCTCTGCGAGGCATGGCGAGCTTTGCCTCATCTCTCTTTCAATTAGCGGGGTCGGAGCAGAGTGCTGTTTTTCTGGGCAGGATCAATTCAGGGACACGCTGAGATGCTGCACGCTTAGCAGCAATGCCTCAGGGAGACATCCTTTCAGCAGAGAGCAAGCCATCAAAATGCCTCAGCAGCCTGGAAGTACATGGCTTAGGCTGAGGTTCAATGAGAGGATCTGCATTCTTGCAGGATATTTTGCTCATTGTCATCACAACTGGATGAGAGTTTCAGAGTGCCGGGGACCCCTGCTTTTAAACAATTATGTGACCTGCTCGTGTCTTTCCCCATCTTTATTTCTTCCAAATAAAATCCTGGTTACAGTGATTCACAGCTTCCTTACTTCAATTAAGTTTGGCTTGCATAGTGCTATACTCTCTGCGGCTGCTATAGAAATTACACAGAACTGGTTCATGGTGCAGCGCTCAGTGGAAGAGAATTTGAAATACACTCATTTTTATTTCATTATCTAATTCAGTTCTGAATTCTAGTCTCAGGTTTCAAAGGATACAGTGCTCAAGGACTCTACTGCAGAATCAGTATATTCTCCTGCCCTTTGGAAAGCCTAGAGGCACAGCTTAAAGAAAAAGTTACCTAAAAAAAAAAAATGAAGGGGCAGAGGGATCTCTGTATGCTTCTCTATAAGGCAGTTCACTGTAATTGCAACTCCTGGTTTGACTCAGGTGGTACCAGTCTTTTAAAGGGTCAGCTGAG